AACCCTAGACGTTAAGACTTAACTTTCTTTAGCCAGACCATGTTTATTCGCACCCCGCTTGATTTCTTGTGTGGTACATGCGAAGACCAGTCCACAGTGGGGAAGTTAACATCTAATCCCAAAGTTCTCAACGAGTCCAGATCCACAATATTAACGCGATTAGCGACTACTAGTAGCACAAAGAATCCTGTTCTTTATCTTGGCTTTCTTTAAAATCCGAACGCGGGAAGGGCGGGCGCGAGCTTGTTGGACGTCAGCAGCAAACATTGGAAATCCGGGGTAAATTGGAAATTTGGGACATGGGGTTAAAAAAAAAAAAGAAGAAGAAGAAATAAATGGATGACAGCGACAAATTCCATGGGTTTAAACCCGCACCAATGGCGAAAGCCAGAATGGAGCCGGGGAAGAGGCCTCCTCGAAACCTTTCAAGGACGCAAGAGGGGTGAAAAGTTTTTTTCCCCTCAACTCAAGACTTAAGCTCCAGTCCTTGTGAACCTGAGAATGTAAGGATGAGAACCTTGGAATAATACTCCGTAGAGCGAAGCGAGAAACGATTTTCAGCCACTTATTCAATCATGAAACGCCTTGCAGCACTGGCCGCCTATCAAATCCATGCTCACAGATACAGGTACATGGGCATGGCCTATGGTCTGGCCCTGACTGCAAAAGCGGATTTGGTCGCCCAGGTCAGGGCCTGGAACATTGTGAGAGCAAGTCGTTCCAAGGAAGAAGCCGCTTGGGCTACTCCGTAGTGAGGACTGATGTGGGGTTGGAGAGAGAGGAAGTGACCGACAGCATTCCTTGACGATCCAACCGTGATCAGATATTTCCGCGAGAGAAGAATCAATTTGAAAAATTAATGCTATACACCACTGAAAACTGGAAAAGAAAAAAAGAAAAGAAAAGGGGGGGAATTAAGTAAGAATGTATGTAAGAAGGGAAAATAATTTGAAAAAATTAATTGAAAATACTTGAATCTGCCCACACTCAGAATCGAACTGAGGATCTTATCATTACTAGTGATACGCTTTACCACTAAGCCACGCGGGCGTATTTTGCTTCAACAGCGATTAAGTTAAAAACACAAATGATGTCTCGTCTGGTCTCGGCAATCGGCCCAACCAACGGTTAATAGTTTTCCGATGCCAAATGTCCCCACGGCGCAGGCCCAGACGCGGCCAGACGGATGCCCGAAGCCTGATTGGGCCGATGCTGCAAACTCCTCGAGGGGGATATACTTTGCTTGACAAATGAGTGCGCAGCAGCAATTCCTTTTTTCGGTTTCAACTCAGAAGGCACAAATAAAAATACTTTTTGTTTTGGATTTGAAACTGCCCGATCCATGAAGATTACCATGGCCCTCTATGATAAGATGCCACCTTCACTTCGGGACCCAGAGAATTTCCCGCCTTTGGCTCTCTGTTCTAGACTTC